GTCATTTGATGTGTATGCGTCTGTGTGTGTGTGTGTGTGTGTGTGTGTGTGTGTGTGTGTGTGTGTGTGTGTGCTCGCTGAATTCTTAAAGACCGGCCCTAGGTAATTCAAGATTGTAGTCGTGTTTTAGTCATTTGACTTAATTGGAGTTCGAACACAGGTCTGTATTTCTACAATTCAGTCCAGGGGGGGTGTACCACCAAGTGAGCTAGGCCAGGTGGTGGTTAGGAATTTTACATTGGTCTGGTTGCACATAGATCTGTCTTCTCAGGTAGGCCTTTCTTGGGTTAGGACTGTCTTGAAAGCCAAGTGTCCCCGGGGGGGACATTCGTTAAATAAGTAAAGTTGGAACGATACAGAGAGAAAGAAGATCGATTAGGATGGCCCCTGCCTGCGCAAGGATGACACGCAAAAAAAAATTGAGTAAATAAAGCCAAGGATCGCCAAGTGTTCATCATGGAGACGAAAGGCAATGAATGTGAGCAGAAGGTGGTGGCAGTGCAGTCACAAAAAGAAAAAGAAAAGAAAATGATTTTTTTTATTTTTTTTTAAAGGGGTGCCAAAGAATCTTGAACTGTGAGATCATTGCCCATAGTGGTACACTCCGGATTCGCCTGGTTTACCCGACCCTTTGTTTCCCTCCCCCGCCGTCTTTGGGCCTCGCTCCACTACTCAACTTTCTGCATGCATTTGGACGCTTACGGAACCAGGTGCGTCAGGACGAATCCAACAGTTTGAAAGTATCGCGACGATTATGATCTCCAGGTACATAAACAGTGATGTGTAGTGGAGCGAAGGCCTTTCTTCCCTCTTTCTCCGTCTTTTCCCATCCGTGTCCCTCTTTTCCCCCTCTTTTCCCATCCTTTTCCCATTTTTCCCCCTCTTTTTCCCTCTTCCTCCCCCCTACTTTTTCCTCATTTCTCTCTCGTTTTTCCTCTTTTTCCCCTCGTTTTTTTTGTTTTTTTTAACTTTTTTTTTCCTTCCCTCTTTTTTTTTTTTTTAATTAAATGGAGACGGGCGCCAGGTAATTCTGAATCATTTCATTCCATATCTGTATTTTTATTTTATTTTTTAATTATTTCATATCAGTCAATCAGTTCAGTTGGACTCGAACTCATGCCTGTATTTCAACAGTTCATGGGTGCACCGACCAAGCTACGTAAGCTCCTTGATTTCCCCCCTTCTTTTCTCACTCTTTTTTCCTCTTTTTTTTTTTTGGGGGGGGGGGGGGAGACAAAATGCTCCAATCTATTCGTGGGGAGCAACACGTGCTGGGAACCCGGCCCAGCGTCCCATATACAATTATACAGAAGATTTGAAATACCAGGGCCATTACCTGGCTTCGGCTAAGAGCAATCTGAGAACTATGAAAAGGTTCTAGAAAGTATGGAAAAACATGGATAACTGCTGACCTATTGCTAGGCTACTCAAGCAGCACTTACTAAGTCAAAACGGAAAACCGGAGAAGCCCTTTGAATGCTCAGAACCCCTGGAATCTCCAGCAAAACATTCTAAAATTTTCTAACACTGTCTTATTCCCGGCCGAGCTTTCCCAGGCCTCATGCCCCCATCCTGCAAGGTTACAGGGCAACACAGCTCACCCCAACTCTGGCCAGCGTCGTACCAACAGCGACCCTTGGTTTCCCCTTGGAATGCCCGGCCCAGGCATCCCCAGATCTCTATACCAGGCCTCACGCTCCTGCTGTCAACAGGTTACAGGGCAGCCCCCCAGCTCCGGCCAGCGTCGTTCTGGCATCGAAAAACCGCAGATCCATGAATATAACAACATTACAAACCTAAAATGATTTGCGAGAGGTACCCATAATCGTAAGGCATTCTCAAGACCTCATGAGATAGGCTAAAACTTCAGAGTCTGAAAAAGGCTTGGAAAATTATGTGAGCGGGGGGTCAAAACTGAAACTGCCTACCATCCAAAAACTCTTCCCCTCAACAGACGGAACGTCGGTCCCGGTTTTCAGTCCTCGTACCAGAACTCACTTGGTCTCATACCCCCTTCTGCTAGGGTAACAGGGCACCACAACCTTCCCCAGTACTGACCAACCTAGTTCTGACGGACAGGAAGTGCCTTCATCCCTCGACACTTCCCTAGCGGCAAGCCCCTAATACAGGTTACAGTGTTAACACCCTGGCGCCCGCTACGTCGAACGGTCTGGTTATGCCTTCTACCCTCGGCATAACTCCACAAGCTTCAAGCTCCCCCTAGGTCACAGAGCAAAAGCTCCAGCACCGGCCAGTGTCGTCCCAGCATCGTCCTTCTGACCTACTTACCTATTAACCATTCCTCTGTTGAGAACCCCCTTGCTAGCTTCCATCCTCCAGTTCTAACTCCCCCCTTCCCTCCACCCTTTACACGTTTCAGCACCTACTATTTCCACAAGAAGAGGGGAAGGGAGGGAAAAGACCACCCTCTCTCCCATGGAAAATCCAGCGCCTACTCCAATCTCGATTGCTTGTACAAGGCTCACGGGAACCATAACGGATTACTCCTCTCCCTCAAAAAATGACCCCCTGTCTGATACTGCCACCGCGTGGAAGCGCCCCCTCACCTCCCCCCCCCAGTTCAGAACGGCCCCCTAGAATACCACTCCTGCTCTCTCAGCTGCATACAGTACCCCCTAAAGTATGCCCCGCAGAGCCGAAGATCCCCCTTCCCTCCTGCCCCACCCCCTCCAAGTGAAACAGCCCTACAACATCTCACCATGCTGACATCAGTACCCCTTGTCCTCCTCCCCAACCGCCATAGCTGACCCGTCCCCAAAAATCAGCATGGCCCAGAGAAGGACAAACCCTCAACACCACCCCTCCCTCTCAAAGATCACACCACCCACCCTGTGTAACCCTCGCAGGGAGGGGCTCCAACCCTAAAGGAGATGTTTCCATTCAGGTTCAATAGCCAAAAACAGATAAAAGCAATTTCCAGCAACCAATAGAATGATTATTGGGACATCAGAACTAAGTCCGATTTTCGAAAACTCACAAATCAAGACCAGACCATCAGAAATTGAATCGGAACGCACAGTGACTAGAATTCCACAACGATGGAGTGAATATTGGGACATCCGAACTAAATCCGATTTTCAAAAACTCGCTAATCAAAATCAGACTATCAGAAATTAAATTGGAACGCACAGTATTAAGCTCACGACCTTCCAAGATCGAAAAGTAGAATTATAGCATTAAGATTGACAACTAGGGATGTCCAAGATGGACTTTCGATCCTGATTTTCGAATCCCAGGATTCAGAAAACCGATCGGAAAAGTAACTTCAGAAAATTGATCAGAAAAGTAACCAGAAGATCACGTTTAGACAAGTATTATTAGCAATCGATCCACAAAATCGAACTAAGAATTTTATTTGGGAGAAAACAGCACAGCATCAACTATTCAAGAATGTCAAAAAAATACGAATCAGTATCAGGAATTTCAATCCACAAAATTGAACTGAGAATTTATTTTGGGAGAAATCAGCGCAGCGTCAACTACTGAAGAATGCCTAATTGAGAAATAACAGAATGAAGCAAGATTAAGAGATCAGAAGATTATCAGAAGTTATTATTTTTGAGCTAACCAATCCATGCATGGGCGAGATCATGACTATAAGAGCTATCAATCAGCAATTAACCGCCACCCCCTCTTCCTCAACAACCCCCACTTACCTCATCCCCTTCAAACCCAATCCCAGCATCTTCGGGGGACGAGAGACACCTTTCGTCCCACTGCTAGCTACTAGGCTCTAGGCAATGCTAACACCGAAAACATCGACGGCCATCTTCAATCCCCCAAGAGGAACCAAAGATAGTGTGGCACCTCCTCACTAAACCCGTTGGTGAGTCACCACAAGAGGTTCAAGCCTCCATATAAAACTACTTACCATACTGTTGAGGAAGGAGGGGAAACCACTCGACCTTCATAACCCTAGCTCTTTCTGACCAGCAATACCTTGATGTACAACCTCCTTTCAACCTGATGCTCCCTCTTGAACAGCCTTCCTCTTCGCACTCGACGTAAGAGTGGTATCACCGGCCACCATAGCCCACCTACCCATGTGGAGTCGCCCAACTTCCGGCACCAAAGATTGAGAGTAAGAAGAACCCAACACCCAGCAATTCACGAGCCCAGCCGGCAGATGACACATGCCATCCAAACTAGTTGAAAATAGAAATGGCAGGAAAAAGATGGTATGCGGCCTCAAACAATGCGAGGAGGGAGCGCTACGTTGCCCGATCACGTCCACCCCTGCCAACATCCCGCTCCACCAACAGTTCTCTCCTTCTGTTTGCAGAACGAATATCCCGCTCCACCAACAACGCCATCCTTCTGCCATCACCACCGTCCACCAGCAACGTGCCCCTCCTACGCGTCGAGGCTCCTCGCCATACCCACCATCCTTACTCCCTCACTGTGCCCTTCTTCTCGCCGCCACTACCGGCCACTTGCGCCACTATCGCATCGTGCCGTATGAAAACACAGCATTCCGGATGGGCGCAGCGCTCCCGGTAGCGCTGCGCCCCCCTCGAGCAAGCTGATTCAAGCCATGCATCAGAAATGGTGGACAGAAGGGTATGATCACTCTCCTTTTTCCCTTTCTGCAGTACAGCTTGCAGACATTCTCTCTCTCTCTCTCTCTCTCTTCTTTTTTGGTTTTCGAGAACTGGCTATTGGCAGGTTTTTTTTTTTTTTTTTCTGTCCATCTGATTACATCTGGATTCGGACTTTGGTCTGTATTTCATCAGAGTTCAGCCCCGTTGGTTTGTCACAACAACCCCTCGTTTGTTGTCCTCTTCTCCCTCCCTCTCTGCCTATATGGTTTACCGGGCAGCTCTGTTTGACTACTATATTGGCAGTATTGTTTTCTATGGGCAGTTTTTGTCAGACCTCTGGGTCTGTGAGTCAGTGGCCAAGCTCAGTTTTTCTAAACCTTATTCTCACTCATCTGATTGCATCGGGGTTCAAACTTGGGTCACTCTTTCAACAGTTCATTTTGGTGTACCAACTGAGCTAGTAGGCCAGCTGGTTATTTTGGCAGTTTTGGTGTCTATTGGCAGTTTTTTTGTGTTGACAGACTTATAATAAGACTGGGTCTGTGAGTCAATGGCCAAGCTGGACAGGCAGGACTTTGGGGCTGGAACTGACATCATTGTACCGTTGTCCTGTCCTTCGGTGGTCCTGTCCTTCGGTGGTCCTGTCCTTCGGTGGTCCTGTCCTTCGGTCGCCCTTCTCGGTCAGAAAAAGAGTATGCGAATTCAGTTGCTATACGGAATTATTTTGGATGTCCGAAAAGTAAATGGGGGTTGAAATGGCCCCCTTGCCATGGAAATGGGAAGCCCTCCCTGCGATTACGTGAAGGCGAGTCTCTATAACACTTCTGATCATTTGATTAAGAGGACTGCACTGCCGTTTGCACAAAAGATAGCTTCAGGCTGGATTTCGAGTAGACTGGGAAATAGCTTCAGGCTGCCTTTTGAGTGCAACTTTCTTTCAGAAAGGATTATAGCCCCTAGACAGGGCCAGACTGACTTTTTTGAGTGCATGGGGCTATAGCAAGGGGGGGGGGGGGGGCTGTCAATGCCTGTCATACCCACCCCACAGGAAAAAAATGGCAGGAGCAATGGTGGTGGACCCCCAGGAGAAGGAGATTCACAGCAGTAGGCACCTTAAGGGAATGACTGATGGGCATCCTTTCAGACCGACCCTCGCTGCAGCTAAGGGTATTGGTGACGATACCACCAATCTTGTAGTCATGGACTTAACTTCTCCTGCGTACATGGTGTGGGGCGCCACGACCGACGTAGGCAAGACGGTCGTATCTGGAGGGCTTGCAGCTGCTGCACTCAGATCTAGAAGCCCATCTGCATCTGCGGCGGAAAGACATGTTACGTATGTCAAACCCGTCCAGACTGGGTTTCCTGCTGACTCGGACTCGCGGGCAGTTTATACGTCGGTTGTGAAGATGATGATGGCGAGGAATGGGGATGGCGTTGATGGAATTGTAACGCCATCTGCTACTTCGATGGAACCGCGGTTACCATCATGGTTATCGGAGACCTCGGCGCTGACTGAAATGTCTGTGTGGCAACAGTCAGTGGGCAGAGAGGGGGAGGGGGAGGGGGAGGCCCAGGCTGCTTGTGCCACTCGTCAGGAGGACACGCGTTTGTTCTTAGAGTGTCTCACCTTGTGGGCATGGAAAAATCCGGTATCCCCCCATTTAGCGGTAGAAATGGAGGGGGGTCTGATTAAGGATGAGACAGTGGTGGAGGGGGTGAAGAATGTGCTTTGGCACTTTGCAAGGCAGGGAAAGGGGCAGGGGCAGGGGAAGGGGAAGGGTGGCTTGACCTGTCCAGGTGCAGATCATGAGCATGGAGAAGAATTAAGGAGGCCTGTACGTCAGGATTCTTCTGGCAGCTTGTCAATTGTGGAGACAGCTGGGGGTGTGGCGAGTCCTGGACCATCTGGGACACTCCAGTGTGATTTGTATAGGCCCTTGCGGATGCCCGCATTGCTGGTGGGTGATGGGAGATTGGGAGGTATTTCCACAACGATCTCCTCGTATGAATTGCTGCGCCTTAGAGGGTACGATGTCGACGCAGTTGTCATGATTGACTACGGACTAGGCAATGCCGCAGCCGTACGCAGGCATCTTCCCGCAAGCATAGTTGTTGTGGACCTGCCACTGTTGCCTGCTGCTGCTGATTCTTCTCCGGACCCTCTGGATGTATGGTTGTTAGAAACAGAGGGCAGGTTCATGGATCTTCTTGACAGCCTCAAGAGAGCTCATCAGAGTAGAAGGGCTCGGAGGGAAGAGCTGGCGCGCACGGCCACCGAGATTCTATGGTGGCCATTCACCCAGCACGGGCGGATGAGGGAGGAGGATGTCACAGTCATTGACTCCAGGCTTGGAGATAGCCTTGCAGTTTGGAGAAGAGTTCCCCATGTGAGCAGCAGAGTTGATCGCAGGGACCAGAGTGGAGGGGGAGGCGATAAAGATGATGATGATGAGGAGGGCGAGGACCTGATCGTTAAGCAGTTTGATGGGTGTGCAAGTTGGTGGACTCAAGGGCCCAATCTCCGTCTTCAGCTGCAGTTAGCTCAGGCAGTAGGCCGTGCGACGGGGCGGTATGGCCATGTGATGTTTCCAGAAGTTGCCAATGAACTTTCTGTGAAGTGTGCAGAAATGCTTCTTGCTGGAGTGGGGAAGGGGTGGGCAAGAAGAGTCTTTTTCTCGGACAACGGGTCCACGGCGGTCGAGGTGGCGCTGAAGATGGCGTTCCGAATGTATGCCATCGAGCGGGGACTGATTCGCTCAGGTCGGCAGCTTGGATCTTCATCTGACTTGCAGATTCTGGGGCTGACAGGCTCTTATCATGGGGATACCCTGGGCGCGATGGACGCACAGGCGCCCAGCGTGTTCAACGGCTTCTTGCAGCAACCGTGGTATTCGGGGAGGGGTGTTTTTCTAGAGCCACCGAAAGTCGAATACAAAGCAGGTCTTTGGAGGATCAAGGTTCCGCCGGCCTATGGCGATGGCATAAAAGCTGGAGAACTTGGCGATGATGACATTCAAGGGGTTTGCTGCTTTTCCTCCAGGGATGAAGTGTTCGACTTGGGACGCCGTAATGCATCACCCCTCGTGACCATTTACAGGAAGTTCATCGACAGCAGCTTGCAGAAGCATGATGATCATCAAAGAGCACCACCGGAGGGTCCTCGGGTTGCGGCCTTGATAATCGAAACTGTTCTTCATGGGGCTGGAGGCATGGAGATGATTGACCCCTTGTTCCAGAACGTTCTCGTTGGTGAGTGTAGGAAACGTGCGATTCCTGTCGTCTTTGACGAGGTTTTCACGGGGTGCTGGCGGCTGGGAAGAGAATCATCCATGGAGCTCTTAGGCTGTGTTCCTGACATTGCCTGCTATGCGAAGTTGATGACCGGTGGCGTTGTTCCACTGGCAGCGACGCTGGCGACGGGCTGTGTTTTCGATGCATTTAAAGGGGACAGCAAGATTGAAGCGCTCTTGCATGGCCATTCGTATTCCGCACACCCAATCGGCTGCAGTGCAGCCATCGAGGCTTTGTCGTCGTTTTCCAACCTGGTGGTGAACCCGAACTACGTGCCTGACAAGCACCAACTGCAGGAGTTATGGGACGTGGAACTACTCAGAGAAGCATCGTTTCTCGGCAACATCAACCGTGTTACTGCAATTGGGACTGTCTTTGCAGTGGAGTTATCAGTGAGCGATGAAGCATCGTCTGGCTATGCCTCTTGGTCAAGCGCTGACATCATCCCAAAGCTCCGGCAAAAAGGGATCTTTGCACGGCCACTTGGCAATGTCATCTATGTGGTTGTCACGCCAACCACACCTCCTGGGAAATGTTCATGGCTTCTTCAGTCTGTGATTGATCTACTGAGATCTGTAGATTAGACGGATCCATGTTGATTAGCCATTCGTTGGGGTCAGGCGCACACCCGAAAGGGCGTCATATTTCAGGTCAACCATTCATTGAACGAGAGACACGCCCAGAAAGGTGTCATGCTTCCCACATAGCAAAGGGAGAGAAGGGGAGTGAGAATTGATTCAGGCCCACAAGGACCTGTTTTCTTTTTTTTTATGGAAAAAGAAGAAAAAAAAAGAATCAGATGCACACCCAGAGAGATGTCATGTCATGTTCCGGACAGAGCAAAGGGCGAGAAGAGGAGTCCAGAAGATTAGTCCAAAACCTTCTAAGGCCCAAACCTCCATCTCTCACATTCTCTGTCCTCCTCGCCTTGCTTTACCCCCAAGAGGCTGTTGATTAGCTATACATATGGCAGTAGCCCTGCTGTTGCATCTGCATTCCTTCTTCTTCTTCTTCTTCTTCTTTTAAGGACCAAAATTTTGGACCATTTCTCGATTTATGTGTGTCCTCCTTGGAAAGCAGCGGTCATGCTAATCTTCTCTGTATCGTTCCAATTTTCCCAACTGTCTGCATTCCACCAGCCTGCTTTTTCGACGAGCTTTGTGACGAATAGCCCACTTCATTTCTTGTATGTGTCTTTAGCACTCTTTACTCTGATTCGATAGAACGTTACTTTTGTAATCCAGGTCCATCCCATTGACCTGGGGGAGGTCCATGTAATCCAGGTCCATCCCATTGACCTGGGGGAGGTCCATGTAATTGGCTCTGAGTCATCACTATGCAAGTTCTGTAAACAAAACAAATGGACGACAAGGATGCTTGGGAACTTGTACTACTGAAGTGCCAAATCTAAATAGGAGAATGAGCTGTACAGCAGGTGGTAGGTAATTCAATAAAGCGCTGTGATCAGCTGCGGGTAAATTTCCACACGGCAGGTGAATTGCCATGTCCTGTTAAGGGTTGATCAGCAGGCAATAAGCCAGTGCAGGCTGTGCCTCACTGCAACCCATCTGAGAGAGAAGTCCATCCATGAGGAATCCACAGGCATTGCTTCTTCTTCTTCTTCTTCTTCTCTCTCTCTCTCTCTCTCTCTCTCTCTCTCTCTCTCTCTCTCCCTCTCTCCCTCTCTCTCTCTCTCTCTCTCTCTCTCTCTCTCTCTCTCTCT